TAAATATAAATAAATATATACACAATAACAGCAGCTGTACAAGTATTAACCGGAAATGAAGAATATAGTGACCAGTGTTGTGTGTATATATATGTGTGTGTGTGTGTGTGTGTGTGTGTGTGTGTGTGTGTGTGTAGAGGAAGAGAGAGAGCGATAGATAGATATATGAGCTGAATTGGCTCATGACAGAGCTCTGAAGCATTTTTCTATTTTGTTTTTCATCTTCCTTTTCCTCTTATTGCTTCCTTAATGCCCAGAATAGCTTTCAACGACATTGCCTGGTCTTGTTACTCAGGTTTTCTTATTATTTGTCACAGTGACAGTGGAGACAAGAAAAACCATCTCAGACCCATCACTGTCAAAACCAAATTTTTGGTCTTTTATATAATCGGGTCCATGGCAGATGAGAAACAACACATCCTGTCATTACGTATGTAACAAAAATACTGAAGCAGCGTGTGAAAAACAAAGTCCACCCATACTGCTTCCATGGGGGTTAGGAGGGTAAGTAGCAACTACACGTTCATGATCACTCGATTAACTGATCATCAGCAAACATGAGCGCCTCTTTTTGTCTTTCTCAGGAGCACAAAACCTGCCTGTTTATCTTTTCATGTTTCAGTCTTTATTGTAGTCTGCTGTGCTCACAATTTAAATATACAGTCTCGGCAAAAAGAAAGTACATCATCATCATCAATTCTAAGGTTTTAAATATCACAGATTAACAATGCAATAAAAAATATACAAAACACGACATATTACACCGAGTCCATTTTTTTTTTTTTAAACAAAATTCCATGAAAAAGCAGAGGCAGTGAGTGAAATGCTAAGTCTACCTTTTGATTCAGTCGCTTATAGAACCGCCTTGAGAGGTATTAACTTGTATTGATTGTTTTCTGTTTGACTTTATCTCTCACATTGTTGTCGAGGAGTTTTGGCCCACCCCTCTTTACAACATCACTTCAGAGGTCTTTAAACGTCAGTTTATGCAGAGCTGTCTTACGGCCACACCACAAGCACATTGTGGGCTGGATTTTGATTGGGTCACTGCAACACCTGGATTCTTGTCTTTTTCAGCCGTCCTGTTGTAGATTTGTGTCTTTGGAATCATTGTCCTGTTGCATGACTCAGTTTGCTGTCTGACAGATGGCCTTACATTTGACTCTAGTACGCTAATACTTTAGTTTTACAGATGAGTTCATAGTCTGATACAATTTCTTAATATACCTTAGTATATGTGGCTGTGTAAAAAACAATGAAAAAAATATTATTATATTCAACCCTTTCTTGTAGTGCTTTGAAAGTAATTTTGTTACTGTAACAGAACTAAAGATAGACCTCCAAAAAGATGATTTGATTGGACTTGTAACTTAATCTCACTGTGATTTAGTTTGAAGTCAGCCTATTATTAGCTTCAGATTCTTATTATGAGAATCTGAAGCATTTATTTGTTGGGTTTTTGTACCTTATGACTAAACATCTCCACTTTGGTTTCATCCACCCATTTTTTTTAAATTATCTCTGAGTACTGCGTTGTCTGACCTTGGGATGAATGCCAGGAAGTTCACTTCTGGGAAGACTGGCAGCTCTCTTTCTGTTTTCAATCTGTTAATAATCTTTCTCACTGTTTGGACTTGAATTTTTTTTTTTTGGACATATCCTTATAATCCTTCCCAGTTTGATGGTCACCAACAATTGCTTCTGTAAAATCATTGCTGATGTGTCTCCTCTTTAGCATCGTATTAGCAAACAGCTGAATGTTCCTTATATGTAAAACCTTATAATTTAAAGAGGGTGTTTACCTTTACCATGACTGTATCGCTCTGACATATTGTTTAAAATATGTAAGGATATCCACCAGGTTTTGCAGGTTTTCAAATGATTTACCGGCTGAACATCACCTGTTTCACACCTACTCTTCTAATTGCTGTCTCATGATATGTATTCATTGGTACCTCCCTACAAAGCAATTAAGACATGATGGCCAGCAGAAAGAATTGTCTCATGGGTCGTGTCATTGTAAATGGCAGCATTTAAATTTCCCATTTATTTTCTGGGGCCATGTCATAGAAATACTACAGGAACTGCCCCCCTAATTAGCCTACTTCATCCCAGACTGGCAGGCTGGCACAGTCTCCTCTGACAGATTGCTGTGGCGGTGCATGTAAAACAGTCACAAGGCTCAAAACATTTCAGCATATGTTCCACCTTGTTGTATGTGCTCCACAGCGTGTGACGCTAATTTAAAAAAAATGCACCTTTCTAGTCTAAATATCCTTCTGGGTCAGATCAATCTTTTCAAGGACAAGGAAACCGCCACAGGATGCACGGCAGTCTCTCCTTATCAGGGGCTCACAGA